CTGGCGGGCGGGAGGGAAGGAGGAGAGGGGGCCCAAGCTGGCCTGCTGGTGGCCAAGGGGAACTGGGGAACCAAGGGTCCCGCTAGTGCAGGGTGCGTCCCGAGCTCCGATTTAAGTGCCACTCCCCACTCACCCGGGTGTCTAAGGCGCTCACTGCACGAGGATCTTAGAGAGCTTTAATCCTCGCCTATTATCCAAGTTGAAGGGGCTTGGAGACAAACTCCAGCCTCCCTTTGCAACCCGACTGCTGCCACCGACACCGGTTGGCTCATTCCCCCGCTCCCCCGCCCCTTCAGATGGCTTGCTGATGCAGAAGACCGAAAAGCCTCCTCCAGAGTTGTCAGGCTCTGGGGCGAATGACCAGCTGCACCTCAGGGATCACGCCCGCCTTGGACCTAGGCCACCTATCTGGACTGTGCGCTTGGGGGGGAGGGGGGCAGAACTTGGCTCTGTTCACAATAGAGATCTCTCTCACGAACTGAGATCTCGTAGGCTTAAAGCTGCCTCCTGGGACACAGCTACCAACCTAGTGAGACAGAGATATTCTAGCTCGCGGGGCAAGCAGGCCGAGCCCTCTGGTGTTGAGGTAGAGGCTATACTCCCAAGGCCCATCTTGGAAAGGCCTCAGGGTGGTGATCTCTCTTGATTCGGTCACATATTTTTCCAGGAGAATAAAATGTCTCCTCTACAAGGTTCCCTAGCTCTTCTGTCCTTGTGGTATTTAGAGTAGGATGTTTCTCCCCTGAGAAACATCTTCTGGGTGACACAAATATGCCAGCACAAGTGTTTTTAGTCAGATGGATTCCTCCAGCCCACCCCACCCCCCAAGCCTGCCCATCTGGCTCTTTGGGGGTAAAAAAATCTGAGTTTTGATCCAATTTCTCGTAAGAGTTATCACAGTCTCATTGCAGGCCACACAAGCTGCAGGCTATGTCTGCCTTGAGAACTCTGCTGTGGGAGGCGACACTAGGGAGAAGGAGGCAGGGAGGAAGGGAGGGGGGAGTGGTTCTATGCTCCGGAGTCACATGGTGGCTCAGACAGGCAGGAAGCCTTCAGCTTCA